CTGTGTTATAGGAGGGCGAAATCGCTTTCTGCAAGAAGTTCATTCTGTCAATGGACATGTCGATTGTGCGAGGCTTTGGAGCTGCAGAAGGCCTTAAAGGCAAGGGACTCTGTTTTGCTGCTAAGAGCAATAGCCTCCAACCTACTAGCGATGGCCTCCAACCCAAGAGCGATGGCCTCCAACCTACTAGCGATGGCCTCCAACCCAAGAGCGATGGCCTCCAACCTACTAGCGATGGCCTCCAACCCAAAAGCGATGGCCTCCAACCTACTAGCGATGGCGTCCAACTTAAGAGCGATGGCCTCCAACCTAAGAGCGATGGCCTCCAACCTACTAGCGATGGCGTCCAAGTTAAGAGCGATGGCCTCCAACCTAAGAGCGATGGCCTCCAACCTGATAGAGATGGCCTCCAACCTGACAGCGATGGCCTCCAACCTAATAGCGATGGCCTCTAACCTAGATGTTTCAATTTCCGTGTAGTCAAAAAACATTGAACACTTCAGGCTGACCACGCAATTGTTTGACGGTCAATCTTGAACTTTGAGCTGCGGACAAGTCCAACAACAATTGCACTATTTGACTGGGCTTGCCCCAGCATGCAGCACCTAAACGCCAGCCAAGCACACATGAGCTGTGATGGTTGCACAGAGATCCAGGATTCCACAGTGCTTCCAAAAGCAAGTGTTCACACAGCCAAACAATGGAATACAACATGGACCTTGGGCACCTTATCATCGTTGAACGATCGCTATTGTAATGGAACTGGGGCGTCCTGCGTCATTGCAGGGGCGTCCTCCAATGGCTATCTTATCTTGGGTTTGGCTGTCAACGCTATGGCACCGAGGGGAGTTCACTGATACTGGTGGGGGAAGAACATCCTGGATCCTTTTGGTTGCTATGGTTTGCAGAATATACTTTCCATGAACTGGGTATCGCTAGTCAATTAAAAAGCAGACTCGTGTCAATCAAGTGTATGCATAGAGTCACCATGATAACTTGCCATGGGTTGACAAACCGAACATAAAGTCATCTGGACTCATCACCTTTGCACACCACCAAAACAGCAGAGAAATGTAAAGGATCTCCATCCTTCGGACATTTTGACACTTCCACCCCCAGCCTTGGCAGAATTGCTAGCTGCTGCTCACTTGTTGCCACTGCCAGGCTGCCTTTGCAGAAGACGCGTTTCAGAAACTTCTGAAGCATGCGCAGGACAATCAGCATACCAATTTCATCCGTTTTTTCTATGAAACAACACATATCAGCGTTTGGACCCTCGGAAATAGGTATATAAACGGATGCTTCTAGTCTTGCTATGTCTTGCTGGCCTCTAGTATAAGCACAAGATATGTACGTACCCACATCGTCCCCTTTTGCGGCAGGATAGACACCCCAAGCGAGGGATCCGTGGACATGCTGATCAGACAGCATTTACCACTCAGCTTCAAGGTCTTTTAGCCAGCTTCTCAGGGAGGTTTGGATGTATGTTGTGTCTCAGCGGCTCACAACCCCATACGACCTTTGGAGTTTGGCGTTCAGCGATGACTGCACGTATGCCACGTCCGGTCACGACGGTTCGGACGTTCGGAGTAACGCGACCTGCCCAGCTCCATGTCTACCGCCGTGTCCTTCCACAGACGTCCGGAAGCTCAGAGAGGGGACAGGTGGACCTTCCGTTTGCTCTAGTAGTATGGCCAGGAGCTACGTTCGTAGGCGTCCGATCGCTCCGTTCGTAGCGATGCACCTTGTTACTAGTTGGTGCTTGTTATTAGCAGCGATGCCCTTTGTTGGCTTGTCAGCTCCACCAATACCAAGTGGTTTATATCATAAACCCAATTCCACAACACCTGAAATTCATGGGACTCCGGCTTGTTGTGTTTCTTTTGGAGGCCCCACAGGCGTGGGGCGTTGACCGTCCGCGGGGCCTCGTGAGTACCCACTGGCTGTCATATTTTCATAGCCGGTGCGGGGATGTCCACGGTCACCCGGAATGAACGTTCGCTAGGCCTTGGTGCCTCCAAGCTGGATGGGATGTGCCCGCACCCAGCTGATCGGGCGGCTGGAACACTGGTCCAACCGAAGAATGAGGACAGAACCATTGCGCAGTAAGTTTCCCTCGAAATCTAGGAACCATGGCTAGTAGGTGGGAGGCCATCGCCACTACGGGGAGGCCATCGCTAGTAGGTTGGAGGCCATCACTATTAGTTTCCCTCAAAATCTAGGAACCAGATAACCAGATCATTATATAGTGCGAGCTATCCAGCGTCCCAGCAAGGAGCGAACTTCTCCTAGTGGCTTACTTGGCTTACACTTCTTCTTTTCTTATTTACAGTATGCAGGCGCCTATTTAATTAAGTAAGGGCGCCCTAAAAAGACATATCTTTATCGAAGCGTCTTTCCCCGATCCCATTGGCTCCACTGGCTTGTTAGATCGGCATTGGGTGTTGTTCAGACAGACCATAATAGATATCCTTCACTGTATATATATATAAATCACTTTCTGCTCTTTCAATGAGGGCTACAGAGAGATGATGATGCGCATGACTGCGGCCTCCGAGGAGCGGGGCAGGGGAGCACACGTAGTAAAATGAAAAGCCTCCAAGACTGCTGAACCCTCCAAACATCCAAAAACACGAAGGGACCATCAGCTGCCTTGGAAGGATCCTCGAGTTATACAGGGACGAGAGGATATCAACAGGCAGGGCATGAACATTAATAATCAACTTTGGTGATGATTAAGACCCATGATCCATGCAAGCCCAACTTGCTAGTTTGACTTTTGCTTATGACACTGCTCGAACTCAGCTTCCCTGCGCTTCCCAAGGCTCCTTGGGCTACCACGGCACACGATCATTCAACCTCCGGCAGCTGAGCCGGTGAGCGGCGGGTCGAAGCCGTTTGAAGGTCGATCGGAAGGGCACGTGGATGAACCCCCCCCTCATGAGCCCCGATCTTCGGACACATTGGTGAACCATGAAGTCCATTGTAGCGACATGGAATTGCCTCTTTCATACTTGGTCGGTCCATTCACTCCAAGACAGCACATTGCCTTTTGCTTCCTCTTTGCCGCGGAGGTGTTCTTTTTTGACCCCATCGTTCCATTTGCATGAAGCAATTTATCACTTTCCGACCGTCTGGTGCTAGCAGTCGAATGGGTTTTGAGCGGCCATTCCCGCCAATCAGCAACCCTTCAAATTGAAAAGGACAATTCATGTTTTTGTCCACAATTATTGCCAATCGTATCTTCTTTTGCTTATATACACTCCCTGAAACAATCATGAAAGTGAAACATGCCCCGCTTGGATGGCCATTTTCCTACAAACAGGTAGTGCTCTTCCAGTTCCACGATTATCAATGGACGAGCTCATGACTCCACCGTTTGTCAGGTGTTTGTGGAGACTCCAGATGGCTCTGGCAATCAGGGTTTGCAGGGAGCCGAGGAGAACACGGAAGAACAACGAGGTCGTCGGTGATCGCCTCGAGGTTTGGAGCCCCGATGCTGATTGATGCTGATGGGGACTACGCGCACGAGTTCTGGGAGGAAGACAAGGTGAGACTGGAGCAGTTAGCAGATGTTAGAAGAACTAGACGAAACGGGTATGGTCTGGATGTTTTTGCAAGTGTACAACTATGGGCTTGAAGGTCAGATGTGACATGGAGAACACACACCGTGAAATAGTTCATTTGAGCATTCTGATTCTGAATGAGGGGCCTAAACAGACCAACACAAAAGAAGCAGAAATAAGATCCGGCTGCAAAGCCCTGCAAGACCAATCCACACATTCAATGGAGAGAGTAAGTAAATGAGTAAGCAAGTAAGTAGGTAGGTAAGTAAGTGAGTGAGTGAGTGAGTCAGTGAGTCAGTCAGTCATTCAGTGCGAGAGTAAATGAATTGTTGCAGAACGCGGACATGCGTGACAGTGATTGTGCAGACTCTTGCAACCTGTCCATCGTGAAGTTATAGCAATTGCTATTTGGTTGGAGGCCATCGCGCGTAGGTTGGAGGCCCTAATAGCGATGGCCTCCAACCTAGAAGCAATGGGCTCCTGGGGGGATTTTTCTCCTGGTCTCATTGCTTGGAGCGCCGTTCTCCTTCGCCCCTCGAGCCAGGCAGGGCAGCTGGTTCTGGTCACTCCTCAAGTTGCGGCTAGTTTCGGCTGACCCGGAAATGCCGGTCACTTAAGTGCAACGCTGGGCTTTGCAATGGGAGCAAGAACGCTACTAGGAGCAAAGGGCATCGCTACTAGGAACAAGGACGCTACGAATGGGGCTCCTGGCCTTACTGCTAGGAACAAGAAGCTACTAGGAGCTTCTTCCAATAGGACAATGGGAGTCTCTTCGGTTCTAAGGCGCAATGCACTGGGTGCTGAGCTGCAAAAAGCAGCTCGCGCAGACACGACATCACAAGAATACTGGTCAATGTGTATTGGGCAGCTGTCTAAATTGTAGTATGTTTGCACAGTTCTTCCTCCTGAGAACAAAGCGGAGAACACATCTTCCATGTCAATACCGAAGTCTCTGACAGGCAAGGAAATCTCCACTGCATTAAAAGGACACGGTGCCTTCCGTTGCTTGACAAGCATGCGCCGGACATTTTCGGATCGCAGATTGTGCAATCAATTGTGGTCCACCTCAGTGGTCCGCCGAAGAAACACGCGCTTGGCACGAAGTCAACAAAAGTCGGAAGAGTCAGGAGAGTCACCACTTCATTTGCCTTGGGTTCTTGCATATCGTCGCGGTGATGTTTTGCATGCTGCTTTGCAGCCGTTTGGGCTTCGGAGCATGCCGGCGCATGTAATCCCAAACATAAAAAACTTCCCAATTTTCCTAATTTTCAAGACCCAGTGTGAGCATTATGCACCAGTCCAACCTTTCATTTTCAGGCAACCAAATACGAAGATTTACAGAAGATTAGAGCTGTCGATTCAGATGTGTACAGTACAACAATTTTGAGCTTACACTGTTGGTCATCAGGAACCCCCCAAGTTTGACAGGGCCACATGTTGCAGCTGAAAAAGAATAAGATCGTGACAAATGTCTCGGAAGGTCTTGAACTCAGAGCCGTAACTCCTTAAGTTTTCCTTTGTTAAGCACCATGTCACTAATGTCTAAGTCTAAGGCCAGGTGGAAATACGGCAGATGGAGGTGCTGAATTCCATGCTTTACGAGTTTATCAAGGACAAGACAAGACCTAGCTTGACATGAACAAGAAATTGTATTTCGCTAGGTAGATTGGTATTGTGGAAACTACCAGACCATTTCAGGCGCCGGGCTCAGAGAGTGTGTGACTCATTGCAAGACAGACGGAGGGTGACAGGAAGAAGGGCCAACGAATGTTGCCAAGATCCGTCGTCAGGACAAGCAGCGATGCTGGCAGGCTTTGCCTTCAATTTCATCACGGCACCGATGCCAGAGGCAGGTAGGGAAGGATGCAGAAATCACGGTTGTGCAAGTTGTGCATTAAATTGGATTGGTGGAAGGAAGTTGCTCATGTGACTCAGAAGTTTTCAAATTCCGAGATTGGATTTCTTGAAAGTATGTACTTGGTCTCCCAATGCAGGAGAAGCAGAACGCAACGCTGGAACTTATTTATTTCTTCTGCGTTTGTGCTGCAATGGGTCCCTGGGTTTAAAGTTGGTACCGTCAATTTCTTCATGTTTCTATCGTCTGGACCCCATTGGCCATGCGAACCATTCGGTGTAGAGAGTTTGGGACTGCCATGAGGTGCTGAGCTTGGAGTCATTGTCATTTCCAGCTCGTTGTCTGTTTGGGCACCATCACTGGCGCTGTACGAAGCCCAAGCATCAGATTTTTTATCCAATTGCAGTGTTGTCCTTAAAGCTTGGAGACAGAGAGGGCGAGAGGAAAGCAGTCTTGAACCTAGAGTCGACTTAGAGGTAGCATGGACAAGTGGCATTGTGTGGCTTAGCAAACGAGGGATGATCATTTTGTTCAACTTCATGGATCGCAGGGGTAGACTTACTGACATGCCTTTGCCATCGGAACGTTCGGGATGGCCAAGGAGAGGCAAGAGAGGTGCTACTGACTTGCATAAGGTAAGTCAGCATGGGCCGGGTGCGTGGCCACTTCCTCTAAATTTAACTCATGCAATTTTACACGTTGAAGAGAGGTTCCAGGTAGCCCTCCGAAAGGCTTGCATTAGGCACTTGGACTGGATGCTTCAATATGTTCCTAGCAATCCAATTTCTGTCCATTCTCTTGACAATCTATCATACTTTTGGAAAACACAGTTGTTCGCTGAAAACTGTTCGACTAGTTGAGACCTGCCTCCACAAATTCGAAGACTACCTAAGCTTCACAAAGGCAAGCACTGCAATGTAGTATGGTTGCCTCAAGCGGCACATTGCGGTATGCAGTTTGCTCAACAGCTTTTCAGATTGGGCGGTTGCCAGGCATGCGACACCCTTCGAGACTATCAAACGCTGGTGTTTAGCTGCTTCATGTGCGGATGGGTGATCTATTTCGTCGCAAGCATTTTGCAGGCGACCTTGGTTGAGGAATTAGTAGAGCCAAGTCTGCAAATGCTGCCAGGTGACACAGAATGCAAACCAATATCGAATATGGTTTCATGCATTGCATGTGCAGGTTTGGGTCTTCTACCGGAAGTCCATTGCCATGTTTGTTTCCATCCCGTTCTGCCTTTTCACGCTTGCAATTGTTTGGTGCCCCCGTTGGACCAGCTGACCGTCGCTTAGGAACATCAGCATGTCAGTGGGGTCCAGACAGAACTTTGCTGCAAGGGAGAGATTTCCGCGTTGTGCACACACTTCTGTCAGGTATCTCTTGGATTTGCGGTGGAAGCTCAGCTTGCCTGAAGATCAGGCTGAACCCCATGTACTATCTACACTCTCGCAAGCGCAATTTGCGATTGCTGCAACTGCACCTTGAGGGTTGTTGTGTATGGTATCATGCTGCGTCGAAACAATTTGGGCAGTTCTCGAAAAGGCGCAGAAATCGCCCATGGACATTCTTGTTGGCCAAGCGAATTAAGCGAATTGATGCATTGGTCGCACTTGTTTGCAGGTGGTCAGTGGAAAGATTGCGCACTTTAAACGCTATGAATCCATTGGTGACATCGCTGATGGTCTGGGTCGCCCAGAGCCGCGGTGTTTGTCGAGAAGATGGCCTTGGAGTTGGAGTTTGGGATGAGTTTTGGCATTCCTGGGAGGTCGCAGTCTGGAGTCTGAAGTACACTCAAAATGATTGCCAGACGGATCTTGAAATGCTTGCAGCCAGTCTAAAGTCTAAAGTTATCTCGTATATATAACTACTTCAGACGGATTGAAGGTGAAGAGAATCTTCAACTCTTCCAGCCGTCCAATCCATTTCATGTCGAGCAGTACGGCAGGGTCCGAACAAGTTTGGTAGACAGACAGCCGTACTTCGCCGAAGAGGTTCGTTGGAATCTTTGCACAGCCCTCTACCAATAGGTGGAACTCAGCCTCTACGTAAGTTTGCGTCACTTCGTGCAGGCAGCTCCATGCGGGCAGCAGTGAGCTCAACTTGAGAGCAGACAGCTCATGGCCGCCATGTGTTTGACACTGAGGCTGGCGGTGAAGCAGGAGACTACTTTGCAGTTGGACAGGAGCGATGAGTTGCGGCACTTGCAGTGAAAAACATGTGTTGACAAGCCAGTATATTTATAACATATAGAATTTTAAATATATATACTTGTATGTATGTATGTACATATATATATATAACGTGTTTGTGTATTTATGAGAGGCCTTGGCGATATACCCAAAATGGGGGGGGAACCTACCTCAAAACAAGCAGGAACTGCTGTGAGCACAACAATGCTATGTGGATACGATACCCACTGTATATGCACAGACTTTCTTGTTTGAGATATGCAGTATGCACCCCCAAATACGGTATAGCACTGTGCACTTGGGGACACCCTTGCAATCACAAGGTACACCGAGTAGTGTAGTTCACGCCACAGGACGAGGATGAGCCGAAGATCCTGAAAAGCTGGCTCGTTTTGTTTGGGTCGCCGCCAGTCATTCCACCCGTATGCATGGCGGACTTGCATTTTTACGGGGCAGATGATCCTATGTCCCTTTACTTTACAGAGCCCAGCGTTTAGTACTGTTTTTCATGTTGTTGTTCTTATTATCGTTGTTTATTGTTGTTGGTGCAGCTGCAGCTGCCCAACATAGTTGTCACATGTTGTAACCCTGGAACTTCAAGGGGACAAGGTTGGGAATATGGTTGAAGGTTTGAGGGAATGTTGGTTCCAACTTGCTGGACTTGTTTCACTGACGTTTGGGTTGGTCCGTTTTTGGTGTTTTGGAGGTGTTTTTGTCTCCAGGAGGGAGTTTTTGTTTGTACGACGTTGTTGTCGTTGTCGTTGGTCGCTTTCGCTCTCGCTGTCGCTGTGGCTGTCGCTGTGGCTGTGACTGTTGCTGTTGCTGTTGTTGCTGCTGCTGCTGTTGTTTTGCTGAGTGCATGTACTATAGTTGTCACATGTTGTGAAAGACATTTTGTGGGAGAACTGCTCGTACTAGCCTGTAAGGTCCCAGCTCTCAGAAATCAGGTCCTTCCAAGCCTTCAGCGACAAAGATGACAGGGTCAGCGGGAGAAGCACGCAAAGATCGAAGTGAATGTCCCAAAGTGAGGATGTACACTTCTCGCAGAAACCACCTCGAGGTGATGTAGATCCTTAGCTGAAGGGTTTTTGCGCCTGACAAAGTGTCGGATTTGTTGCATGGCTACAGTAGAGGGGAGCATCCAAGAAGGGTGCTGTACTTTGAGATCCCCAATTGCCGTGTAGTATCATGTAGTGGAGTTACGCCCAAGCAAAACCAGCTCCAGCACTCAGCAACACAATACTGTGAATCATTCGTCAATGTGCAAGGCTGTTCTTGTGGATGTGACAAGTACGTGCTCATCAACAGAACCATGTTCTACTGGTACCACAAGGTGGTGTATGATTCATATAACGAACAAGGATACCGTGCCAAATAGCAATTAAATAGCAGCTGTTTCAGCTTGTCTCCATTTCAATGGAACGCTTTTAGACTCCTGACCTTGCCTCAGCCATATAGCTATCAGCAGTCATGCTAAAGACACTTTCGCGCGTAAGCTCCAACAGGTTGGTCGCTTGTCCGCCTTCTTTGCTGGGGCAAATTTTGCTGCCACTTCCCAGTGTCATGAGCTCAAGAGATTGCGTGGCATGTCAAGCTCCCAAATTTGACACCTCTCAGGTGATGAAGAGGCCCGCCTCTGCGCTAACAGGATCACCTGGCAAGAATCTCAACTCGCCGGGAGCTGAACACAGTGGGCGCAAGCAGCGAGGACTTGCGGTTGGCACTCCGCGGTTGCTGTTTTCATCGGATGTGGACCAACTGAACCACCATGGGTCCGAGCAGCTTAATGTTCTGAGATGTGTCAGACAGAGAATTGTTGTTTTTGAAGATATGAACAAGATACACCGCTTCCATGATCTGTCATGTACTGTAGTATATTATGATAATCCCCTTTGATGTTTTTGATCTGAGGGCGTATCCGCACTTCAAGAATGCCGGGGAATTGTATTCGCTTCTTGGCTTCAAGGGTGAAGACTTCGACCAAAGACGCTTGCGCCGCTTTAGATCCTAGCTGTGCCACTGTGTCCTCGGGCCTCGTGAGAGGCACATTCGCAGCATCACAGCTGAAGGTGTTGGACTCAGTGAATCAGAGACAGGCTGAACCTCTCTGGTCGCTTTGGTCAAAGATGTTGATCATATTCCGGATGACTGATGTTGTAGTGACATGTCACGCTCATTGTTGTTTGGTTCGCTATCGATCTGGATTTGTTGTCGACACCCGCTCGTCCTTGCTGCAGCTGGAGACTACACAGTGCGCAACTTTGTGGGTGTCATTGAGGAGCGACATGTTGTGTCGCTTGTCTCTACCATCACAGGTCATGGAGTGGTCGATAAAAAGAATGAACCAAGCACATCAACGAAAAAGACACCATCGGTGAAAGAAATAACACACAGCTCAAACAAGCCAAAGCCAAAAGTCGGTAATATAATCGCAAAAACTCGACGGACGTTCACACTACTAGGAGCAAGAAGCTACTAGGAACAAGGGCATCGCTACTAGTAACAAGAAGCTATTTCGCCAGGATATCTCAGTGAAGAGTTCTGTGGTTGAGCAGCTTGGCCGATGGCGCCTGTGGGCCTGTGGTGTTTGTTCGGGCGCCGAACGCCCGTAGAGACGGACGTCCCAGAGTCACAAGGCTCTCATGGGTGAAGGCAAGGTGGTCACACGGTCACATGGCTTCCATAGTTTTTTTCTCAATCCTTTTGAATTGTTTAAAGGCAGGGTAGCCTTCCAAGCTAGTTCTGTCCTGGAAGGACTGGAAGGTTTGCAATGCTCTTCACTAAGGACCGAGCTATTTCCTCTAGGAGCGCTTGAATTCTACACAAAGAAAAATATGGGCTGGAAACTCAACTTATGTTGTCCATTTTTTCCTGACCTTTCAATTAGAATTAGCATAGCATTCTGACCGTTTGCTGTTTGACCGTTGCTCCAATTGGCCAGTCTTTTGTGGAGGCCTTGGACGCTCAGGATAAGACATATTCCTTCGATGTATGTGACAATCCTCCCAATGTGGAACTCCAAAGTGAACAGATTCACACTCAAGCATGGATACTTTCGATTGCAGGAGGAAGGGTTTGTGGTATTACACTACAAAGAAGTTCGAGTTCAAACCATCAGGGGATTGAGACCCAGAATGGTAGCTTAAAAGCACAGCGCATTTGGACATCCTAGACAGTGTGTGGCGCTTTCATACTGATCTAGGAAGCAGATGTTTGTGTGCCAGCCAGTACTCCAGCACCCTTTTTGAAGCTGGCAAATATAGTCCCTTTTCAATCGGCCCGAGAGAGCACAACCCTGCTAGAGCACCGGTCAACGTCTTGTGGAATGTGAATTGCAGCGCACTAGGTATTTGTTAATGCTTGGCATCCTGTTTTGTGAGGTTGGGAATACACGCAAGAGGAGTACGACCAGTGGTTCATGCCAGAGCGGGGAGGTGACTATCAACAACATTTGAGATACTTAGCATTCCTGTTGGCCAGACCCTTTGAACTCTGGGTTGAAAGCTTGAATCGGCCTCGTATGGAGCGTGCGTGATGGTCTGATGGTCCACCCGTGACCTTCCCGGTGAGGTGATCAGGGCGACTACCGCGATGGAATGCAGGAGCCTACCGTGGAGCGCTTCGCTGTCACCAGCTCTGTGGGCTGGTGACAGTGCTGGGGTTTGGTTTTCCTGTACCTCAAATAGAGGCCATCGCCGGCCTTGAAAATAGCCTGCAAAGACCCATAAGGTCACCATCCAGTGGCTTGGGGAGTCCGAATTCTAATGAACCCGCAGACCTTGAGTTTTCCCCATGACTTATTGCTTGGCAGGAGAAGATTGCCAATGTAATCGCGTGTCTCAAAGCTGAGCCAAGGCCAAGGGCACTGTATGCCTCCCTACTAGGGAACCACCACTGGTAAAACTATATTCCTCACTGGGTCGCTGACCTTTGTGGTAAAAGAGCTGGATCCCGCCACACTCCTGCGCTCATGTCGGGCGCCTTTTGGGTCCGAGCCACGAGAAAAAGCGCTCGATTTGGGTCCCGCCCCGTCTTCAGGTCGAAGCGAGCGATCATTCCAATTCCATTTCCTTCGGAAGGTGCGTCATTCTTTCCTTGGACTTTGGGATATGGGATATCCACCTTCCGGACGACGCGAAAAGGTGTGAAGAATGAAGCATGCTGGACAACAGCATCACAGCAAGAATAGATTCACCACGTGGACGAACTCAGTCAATTTGGCTCCACAGACAGACCAACCAAATGACTTGAGGTCAGCAGTGCACACATACTGACGTGGGAAGAACGACACCTTGCTCTCTGCAAGTAGATAGACAAATGACATGAACATACATGAACACATTTGCTTTCCGCAAAGATCCTTTTTATTTAGTTCTCAAAGAGATCTTTGTCGCAAAAGTTCTCCAAAGAGATTGACTACTGCCGCAGGTAGCAAGACGGTTGATTGGACCAACCAGGGGCAGACGAAGTGCTGTGATGTGCCTAGACTCGATGCTCCACGTTTGTGAATTTGTTCACCAAGAGTCGCCCAATGAGGTAGAGAGCTTCATTTGTACATTGAGGAGCAGAACCCCACAAAACTTGTGCTATTGTGCTTGGCGTTGCAAGTGTATTTACTTAAACAGTGGTGCTCTACATTAATCACAAGTTGTCAACAAGCCAACTGGACAGAGAAGCATACATAACGAGGAAAAACCACTCAAGCTTTTCTGATTTAGGCACTCAGAAGTCCCATGATAGGGGTTTGCTTGACATAGGGTAGGCTGCTAGGTGCACAGTCTAGGGCCAGCTAGGCTGTGCTAGGCCCTATGATAGGGTCTATTGTAGGGGGTCCTAGGCCCTATGATAGGCCCTGTCCTAGGGGTTCCTAGGCCCTATGGTAGGGCTTGTCCGCATTGTTTCGGATACGTGCTCCACAGGATGCTGCGCCGGTGTGGGGTCATTCTTTTTCTCCATTCGACAGTTCAGAGGCCTTTGTGATGAAGTTGTGGCCAATGAAGTGGCTGACCTTTCTTCACGATCCACACGCGTATCTCCAGCCCATTGCCTAGAGACCCTCGACACGCATAAAATACGCCGACGCTCACAGATATGATTTTCAGTTGTAAACCACTTGCCTTTCTAGACTTCTTTCTGCTGGCCGGCTGCACGTCGCCGGAAGCCGCGACGCCGCAAGCCACGGTGTTAAGTGGACTCTTTCTTTACGCTTGGGCAATCTGTTGCTAAGACCCACCAGGCTACTAAATCGGGAACGGCAAGCGTACATCTCTGTCCTGATGCCATCCATGTCATCCTGCCTCAGCATCATCTTCGCCCCGACGCTCCAGCGCATCTAGGCAGATGTCTTGCTCCACGATCTGAGAAAAGCGATGACGCCCAAGGAGTCTCCCCCGGCCTGTGTCGTTTGCAGCGAACTCTGTTAGCGCGTGCGTGGCGCCTGGACACGATCCTCCTTCGCCTGAGGCGCGCCCAGACTGCGCAAAAGAAACGGGAATCTGGCGCCGTGCGGTTGTCTGTGTGCAGCGCTCACAAAACCACAGTTTCAGAGCCTTCTCCCCATAGCACCGTAGCAGGAGCGTCGTGGATTAGGCGCCACCCCGCCCATGTACCCACGAGAAAGCAGGGCAGGTGTGTAGAGTGCGCAACGTGAGCCACTAGCTTCCACAGGCCCGCTTCGCATGAAGCCTCACTTCTGTTGCAAACCAAGTGCGTAGCGTGTGCAACGTTTCACTTGACATGTCGCCTCTCACTCAGCCCACCCGCGTTCACGCCCCGCCATGCTCTCACAAAGCAAGTCAGTTCCGTAACAAGGTCCTAGAAGCGGGGAGTGCGCAGGCGTATGATGCGTCAGCCTCCGCGTCCTTGGTCCGATTCAGGAAGCGGCCCGAGGGCTTACAGCCCCCACAACCTGCGCGGAGGGCGCATCATGCGCCCCCCCACTTCCCGAGCAACTCTTGAAGTCACAGCCGGTCATCTGCAATTGCTGGTGTAAATCCATGTGAGATTGCGCGCCTGATAAGTCGCTGCCGCCAGGGTTTAGTGGGGGGGAAGGTGCCGCTTCTCTTAAAGGTGTTCTTAAAGGTAGAAAGGTGTTCGTCGCACACCCTCCTGCAATATACAATACACTTCAATACTTGTTTTGACATCGTCCTTCCTTAAAACCTATCAAAACTGTAAGATCATCTGCGTTTCATTGGGAAAGCGATGAGGGCAAAGTGTTTGTCGTTTGGGACATAGAATATTTTCAGGGTTACTGAGCAACAGAATTCCATTGTGGTTTGGTATGTTTCTGGTAGTGTGTTGCCCCCAACCCATGCAGGGACGGTGTGGTGGGGACTTTCTCCACAAGGGAAATGGCATTCAGTTGAAATAGCTTTTAGTTCAACTGATGTAATGATGCTTTTACATTGGCAGATGCTTTGGTGGTGACTTTTTGGAAGAGTGGCTGGACAGAGTTCCATGCGGGAACAGTTCCCAGCGACAAGTGGCTGTGACTTAAGCGGCCTGGCGTGGACCCTCCCAAAGGATCCGAGGATTGGCCCTTCAACAGCCTAGAATTTGTAGGCGGATAACCCCGACCCTAGACCCTTAGCGTATACCCTGCCGTAGTTTGGGACCCTGTACTATGAGGCCTATCATACGGCTTAGGACATAAACGTCTTATCATAGGCCTATCATAGGGCTTAGCAAAGCAGGCCCTAAGCTGTGCACCTGGGGCACCGAATAGGGGTGATGTTACCCATCGAGCTAGCCTAGCTATATATATATATATATCCATATTATATATCTAATACTATATTACAGTAAACAATCTGTACATGATCTATTGATGCTGTTTTTCCAGAGGACGGCTGCTTGAAGTGCACCGGGATTCTCAGAATGCAAAATGCCATGGCCCTGATGGATCGCCCATTGGGTGACATGCACTTCGACTGGCGGGTCCAAATCGATCGGCCAGGCGAGCATTTTCCCGAAGAACATCCACTTTTTTGCCACCTTGCTGGAACATGTGGGCCAGCAGCTCCAGTGTTGGCCTCAAAAGTGGGTAGAAGTTGCATCGTTCAGGATTGGAGGCTTGAGTCTGAAAGAGGATTGGATGCAAGTCGGTAGTTTGTGCTTACAAATATTTATTGTACATAGAAGGTTTGCTACACTTCATGCTGAGCTTAGGGTGCCCGTTGGCGAGTATACGCATTGGATTACCAACCTCTGCAGGATGCTTAGAACTATACGGGAAGGGTTTGCGGAATCGAGTGGCAGGCAGCAAGGGAGGTTTATTCATTTGTGGATCACGGCCCTCAATGTCGCCGAAACCATAGGAGGAAACACCCATGAGCTCCTGTACATTATAAACCTGTTGCAGGATGAAACTTGAACCTCTCGAACATAAAAATATCCTGGTGCCCCTCCTTTGGTGAGGTCACGACCGGTCTGCGATCAGTTGCTGAGACGCGGATCCAGGTCCATGACATGACGTGGACAGAGCCGAATCTCCAGACACGGACGACGACGCACTCGGAGAAGTGGCCAATGGGGAAGGTCCTGGTGCTACTTCGCCTTTGAGAAGACAAACAAAAGCAGCAAAAGAAGCAGCAGGAACAAATTGAATTGAACGTTTTTGTATTGGTAAGCGCCTTGCATGCATTTTCCTATGCCTTTCCTCATGTTGCATGACTGATGCCTCGGCTTCGATTCTGTGGCAATGGCCTACTTCTACAGATTATTTGATTGGTCACCGTGGTCACCATCCTTTAGGTTTCGTTTCTTTCCTGTGAGCACTTTGTCAAAATAAAGCAGCATTTGTCATTGTTCTATGACTTCTGGCTTTTTGGCCCAAGCCAATTTTGAAAGACCACGGCCTGCTGTGCAAAGCACATGTCAAGCTGGCGGGGATAGGGGGACAGCAATGGCCACTCCATCAAGACCCGAGCAACGTTTTACTTCCCGTGAAAGCTTCCAAAGGCAGAACTAAAGGCAGAAATAGATCATTGCAAGGCAAGACACTGTAAGATACTGTAAGTATTTCAGTGTCGAGGACTTTTCCATGGTGCCTTGTTTGGAGTTTTGGATTGGATGTCTTCTCAGACTAAATGGTTCATTCCACTTCCTCATCCAAGGAGGAGAGCTTCAAAGCAGGTGAAGATGTCTTTGTCTTCTATAGAATGACAAAACGCTGCCGACCCGATCGAAAGTACCTGGCTCTGTCCTGAGATTGCGAAAAATTGCAGTGGGATCATGCCTAGGATTTGCGCTTCTTCAAGCAGTTCAGATACGGCCCTTGATAGGTTCATGTTCCACTTGCCCTGGTTGCCTCATGCAAAAACTGGATTTCTTTGCACGCACCTTACACTTACACCACTCCATTTCTACCCGGCCTTTTCCGCTTACACCACTCAGCCGGCCATCGAGGGGCAACGCAGAAAAAATGCAGCAACAAGAAGAACGAGAACAAGAACAGCCGTAACAACAAGAATAACATCCTCAAACAGCAGAATCACAAAAAGAAGAAAGATTGAAGAAGGAGGGAGGAGGGAGGAAGGAGGAGGAAGGAAGGAGGAGGAAGGAGGAAGAAGGAGGAAAGAGGAAGAAGGAGGAAGGAAGAAGGAGGAAGGAAGAAGGAGGAAGGAGGAAGGAGAAAGACAAGAACAAGAAGAAGGAGAAGCAGAAGGAGAAGGAGGAGAAGGAGAACAAGAAGAGATTGAGCAAAGAGATAATCAACATTAGAAGAAGAAGAAGTAGCAGCAGCAGCAGAAGCAAAAGAAGCAGGAAGCAGAAACAGAGCAAGAGGAGCGCAGAAAATGCCAATGATGCAAGACACTTGCGCTGCTTCTAAGGCAGTGCTTGATCCCAAGCATGGCGCGTATCGACCCCGTCATGGGGTTTCCGATGGCTGGATGCCAGCCCGAGTGGTGGCAGACCAAGATCCCAAGCAGCGTTCTGGAGATGTGAAGGTGGAGTATACGTGGCCGTATTTCTTCACAGAAAGAGGTCACATGGCTGATGCCTCCAGCGGATGGACCGAATGGTTTCCATCCAAATACGTACGGAGAGGCGTGGACCGATGTGGGTGATCGTCACGAGGGCTCCTTGGGTCGCTCGCGGATGCAAATGTTTTGTGGGACAACAAACATGCAGCAGTGCGGCAAGCAAGATGCGTCAAGCCAGTATTTTTGTCAGGATGAACAGGTTTGCTCTGCAATTTCTAGCTACAGCAATAGTTCAATAATGGTTTCAGTAATGCTTTAGTTCTGGCACACTGTCGCAGTGTTAGTGCGTGACTTTCTGCAGAAGGTGTGATCCAAGCACAGAAACCTTGCCCACCCAGTCTGACAGTCTTACTGAAACCTTGCTTTCTCTCTTGCAGAAGGGCAGCTTGCTTGGTGAACTCTAGTATGCTTGCCAGCAAGAGGCTGGTGACATGTGGTGACCAAACCTGGTGACTCGTTAAACCTGATTGGGGACCGACAGAGATCATCCACTCAACTGCAGATCCTGTGGCAAAGAAGCACCTGATTTCCACCAATCCGACGTTAGTGCCCTGGCCTGGCGTCTGGGAACCTGACATCGCGAGCGTGAGCTATCCGTCCTGTTCCTAGGAGCCTAGCTAGCAAACTAGTCTGTACTATGGTTACTACTAGTAAGGCACCTGTTACTACTAGTAAGGCACTTGTTTCTACTAGCTTCTTGTTACTACTAGTAAGGCACCTGTTACTACTAGCGTGGCACTTGTTTCTACTAGCGAACCTTGTTTCTACTAGCGAACCTTGTTTTCCTTATTTCAACCACCTAGACGCCTACTTACTGAACAAAAGGAGGTCCAAACAAGAAGCGAACCGTCTCTTGAGGCCATCCTCACCTTCCGCTGGGGCGGTCTCAACGAAATCGTGGCGCCGGCTCAATGGGGCGAGACAGGCCACGCGCCTTTTGCGACATCAGTCCGTCATTGGGGGCCTAGCATGCAGATTTCATTTTGCATTCAGCCCTTGTGAATCTTGATGAAGCCTTCGCTTTTCTTCGCCTCGTTGCACTGAAATACTGTAGACGAGACTGTCGTGCCAATACTGTCGTGCCAAGCAGCCAGCAAATCGACCGTGTGGCGAGGCAGCTCAGTCTCTGACATATTTATCGATTCCTACTGCGATCACTTCCAGCACCACTTGTCCGCAGACTATGAGGCTCATGTTCCTTTTGACCGACACAACCCCATAACGCCCATAACCAACTGCAGAGGGTCCAGACTCCAGACAGGGGGCACTGGAGCAGGAGTCTAGAACCTGACCTTCTTGAGCAGGGTTCGACCACAATTTTAGTGTGTTACAAGGTAGAGGCATGAGGTGCCGCCTGGATAGCAGTTAACAGTTACAGGTTTCTGACGATACGAGGATTGGACAACATCGGTTTGGGTCGGGCCCCCGGTTCAGAATGTCGGCCCTGATCATCCCTAAGAGGTCTAGCCGATTTTCGCTATGAGAAATGTGCTTCCTGGTTCAAGCATGCTCAAGACTTTTGAGATGCAGGGTATTGCAGGAATTTCGAATTCAAGTCTTCTTTGATACAGGTCTGGACCTGGGCGCCGCACCATGGCAGGTCTGGACAGTTTACATTGAAGACAAGTCTGACATGGACAAGATAGCCGATTCGGTGCACATGTCACTTTGCCGCAGAGCTTTAGACTGGTACAGATCACACACTAGCCAGATGATGATGGATTCTCCAGAATGATTCACTTTACAAGAGTACCAGCCAAGGCTATTTAGCAGCCAGCATCCACTACGGCGTGCCAGAAAGGTGTGGGGCACGTCCAAATAACTCCATTTGCGTACGTTGAGGGTTCAGAAACTGAGTGTGGCCAAGTACGAAGCGCATGAACTGCCCTTTGCATTCCTTTGCTATTTGTCCTTTGAACGTGAAATCGATAAGGTTTGCGCAATGTATCACCTTTATCCAACTGGCTTTGAAGAACACTGTGTTCCAACCAGCGAGACTGGTGGAGATGGAGGAGCAGCCTTAGTAGATCAAAAGGCGCGGAACACCCCAAAGCTCTCCAATGTCCAAAGTTTTTCTTTTGTTTTCATGTGATTCTAGAGCGCTGGTTGAGTCGTGAAGGTTCAAATTTTTGAGCTCGTTGAAAACCAAAAGTTGCAATTGCCTTTTGAATCTTTGCCCTATAAGGCTTTCTTCCGAATGATGCAAGCGGTGGAGAGGGCCGGTATTCCGAGCCGCTTCCCACATGATTCTGGATTTTACGAGCTGCTGGCATCAAAGAGGTGGACGTACTACATGGCACTTGCATCTCGCACTGCTCAGAAAAGTGTTTTTGCATTTCTCTCCGAAAGCTCCTGTGAAGAATTCTTCCTAAAGAACTGTCAACTCTGCCAACTCAATCTGCCACTCTGTTCTCCTGTCAACTCCATTTGCCTTCATGTTCTTCAGGTGTACACCGGTGTCGCCAAAACATAGATGATATAGATGCAGATGTGCACGAAGGTGTGTACACGCGTATCACAGATACAGGATGACACAGGTGTGCGGTTACAGGTGTATAAATACAGGTGCAGAGATAGAGGTGGATCAACACAGGTCTAGAAGTACAATACAGGGATTTTGTGTGTGTGTGTGTGGCAGGGTCGAAACTTGACTGTAAAGTGCTTGACTATCGTCAAAAGTTGATGTTGGAGATGCCGGATTGTGAAACCGTCGAACAGTTAAAGTTACAATTCGACTAACAGTAGTTAGTGAAATCGTAGTGTGGAGCTGTCGTCAAAACCAGATGATCGTGGTGTGTGAAACTGTCGTTGCATGTGGACATGATGCCAAAGTGTGAGTCGTCAAGGCTGAGTGATGATGATATCAAAATGTGGAACTGTCTTTGAAGCTGGCTTTGCTGTAGTGCATATGGAGTGACTTCTGATGGTAGCTTCGAGCTTGGAACTTGCGGTTTTGCTCTCTCAAACGTGGTGCCCGGCTCCTGGAAGCTCCGGGAGAGCTGGTGAGTTTGTAGCGCAGAGGTTTGGCGCTCTGCGACTTCATGGAGTTGCCGGTTCAGAGATGGCTTGGCGTTACGTGGAACACAGCACTGCAAAAAATATGTCTGTCATGCCGCCGTGCGTTCGCGTGGCTTTGTGCTATTGGGAAACCGGACGTATACGTGTAATTACTAAACGATACTATATAAACGTGGCGTGCCACTGGTGAGCGGGAGGATTGGTGGTGTCAAAGAGTTTCACATTGTTGCATCATTTTGGTCTAGTATATTATACGTGGCACATGGTCACCTGGTGCTGCGAAATTATGCCTGTGACATGCCTGTGCCATGTGAAAGTGTGTTTGCGTGTTCTCCGTGCCATCCCGAGAAGAAAAGCATGCATGTGTAAACGCAGTGTGTTGGTGGTGAGCAGGATAATTGGTGGTGACAGTCCGGCTTGGTGTCACATGGTTGCATCTACCAACTTGCACACTGTCTGGACAAACTTACGGCGAGGATGTGGATGCTTTGTGTCCTCAAGAGTCTTTATGAAGACAGTGTCCCTTTGATGTAATGACCCTCATCCAAAATTGTAACATGGACATCACGCACACGCACACACACACACACACACACTCACATTGTCATGTTTCAACAACACTACTACTTCACGGCAGCTACATCACGTAGCACACCATGCCTTCACATCACATCGTGACATCATTTTTATGCATGTTTCATCATATCTCTTGTACTTTGTTAAAGACAGAACATGTCCTTTTGATTTTGTAATCATTTTACTCATGCGCTGTTTGTCGGCAATCCTGCCACGTGAATGAAGGACAGAGGTTTCTCGCAAGAACACTGTAGCAGCTGTAGCATATATCGTCCCGCCAATCCTTACCGGTACCACCTTGAAGTTGCCCTACCATTGGAGTTGGAAACGAGTTGGGGCAAAGTGGGGGATGACACGCCGACTCTGTTGACAGTGAGTGATGGTCGACACTCTGTTGACGATCGTCGACTGCTGCTTCAGGTGCCACATCTCCAACTCCCTGCTACCATCGCACTTCCTCGTATGCTCATCGAGCAGAATGGAGGCGACTGCAAGCAGGCGCTGGCTTTCGCGTAGCTGCGGTGATTTTTTTGTCACAAGTTTGCTTGGCTTATTCAGCTAATGGTGCATCCCACAAGCACTGAAGTGTTTTCTTGCCGCAATTCATAGACGACTTCGATTCTATGCGTCCTGCAAATCAAACGAGCCATGGAGAATCCTTTGGGCATCTAGAGAAACTTCTGGTTAGCCTTTCCAAAGCTCTTGGACAACCAGCCAAAATGAGTCAGGCTGCCTTTTGGGCGTATGATGCGCTCAAAAACGTCCGTGAACAGCAGCATGCGTTGCGGGGCGAGAACATCAAAGGCACGAACGGCAGGGCCGTGGCGGGGTGGGATGGCAGAAGGCAGAAGGGTAACGCAAGGGGCCTGAACTGCTGTTTTTTTTGGCACGGGATCAGTGCTTTGCAACCTTTCAGGAGAACTGCTGAACCTCAAATAACCTCAGATGACCGTTCAACTCCCAAGTCTTTTCGCAGCTTCATTTCAGGCGAAGGCATCCCGCGAGGAGTCGCCAAGCTAGGCTTCTCCTGGGAGGCTTTGGACGTGAAATTCTGGGAAGGCGCTCCGTCTGGACGTGAATAATTGAATCAAAGTAAATTGAGTGTAATTACTTCTAATAGCTTCTTGTTACTACTAGTAAGGCACTTGTTACTAGAAGCGATGCACTTGTTACTAGTAGAATTAAGATGCGGAGAAATGGGATTCCACCACCGCATTGGTTTTTGGTGCATGGGTTTTGCGTTTCTTTTGGCCTCGGGTTTGAGGGGGTGGGTTCCTGTGCTCTGAGCTCACCCAAAGGTGTTTTTTTGCTGACAATTCCAATCCTTTTCGGATCGCTTTAGTCTAGTTGGAAAGGGGTAACCGGTTGCGCAAGATATTCGAGACTTGCAGAAGCATGGGCTTGCTCTCTGCAGGTAGGCAGTGTGGTGTTGAGGCTCGGCGTCATCGCGATCCTTTATTCCAAGTAATGAATCAACCACCGTCAAAAAAGGTACATGACATGACAAAGATGACAAAGGTACATGAATACCCAACGGCCACAAGCCTGTGAAGATTCCCCGCCAGTCATAGTGTTCCCGTGGAACTGGATCCGGAACTGTAACTGTAACCCCCGCTCGAAACAATAGTAATCAATTTCCTTATTGGAGGACATGGAATCACTACCAGAACTGGAACTTGATCTGGAACTGGATACAACTAGAGCTGGAACGGGACTCCCCACTCCCCACCCCCTGGACACAATGCAATCAATTTCCTTGTTGGAGGAAATGGAATCACAACTAGAACTGGAACTTGATTTGGAACTGGATACAACTAGAACTGGATCTGGAGTTCCCTACCCCCCTCTCCCAACCAGCAGCTGATTATTTGGAACTGGATCTGGAACTGTTCCAACCACCCGGGGCACACTCTGCCGCCAGTCAAGGCAGCATTTACAGGGACTTTCTACTTATACTAGTATCGCTGGAGGCCAGCGCGGCCTGGAGACAGCTTTGTCGCAACTTACACAAGCCGCTTGATACTGCATGATGCTCCTGTCATTGGAAGTAAACACATTTTGCTCGCGCACTTCCGGCGATAACACACTCCATTTTGGGAGAGATTAATTACAATTCATTCATCGTGAAGCTTCTGATGCTACGAGGAGATTCCTTGGTTTTCCAGACAAGGTAATTATGTATTGCATTCAACGAACCAGCCAACCAGTAGATGGATGTGCTGAAAGCTCGAAGTTTTGCCCGCCTTCGATCACATCGATCTTGCAATCAATCTCTGATGCATCAGTTTAGGCCATCGAGATCAGTGATGAATTGACCGGACAGCCACACGACTTGGAAGCCTTGATCGTGCAAGAGTTCGTTGATCATGAGCCTTAGTCACAGTCATTAGTCCTTGGTCTACACTTCTTCCCTATGGAGTAGTAGGTGATCCAAGGTAGCGAGAGTTGCTTAGAACAAGATAGGGGTGGGATAAGGACCTGGAATTGCGCCTCTATGTTGTCAATGGAGAGGCGCGGAGAGTGGGGATTTTCGACTCACAACCACTTTCTTCCGTTCTCGGTGAAAGCGGAGTTTTGCGCCCACGAGACAGGTCGAGACCACAATTTTCACGAAGTTTTGCAAGATCAAGCCAAACAACGAGTTCGGTGACTTCAAGGCTTCACCACGCTCGCGATTTGGTAATCAGCAAGATATATAAGTATAGATAAGTAAGATAGTAAGATATCAGTAAGTTAGGCATCAGTAAGATTATATACATTGAATCACACCATCTGCAAACGTCCGTGTTTTCGATTCGCGAAGTGATTCGGATTTCGCCAGGAAGCCTTCACATCCGCTGAAGCTGCTCAATGGATTGGAGGAGATCTAGCAACCCTGCAAGATGGGGAACGACAGTGCAGGCCAGGAAAACAAAACATTTGGAGGGATTCTTTTTTCCATGTCAAGATCAGAGACCAGATTTTCTTTACCATTTCTGCCAGGAAACTGTTTAGAGTCAGAGTGCAGTTGCGACCATGGATGTAATGCTAAGCATTAATTAGTGCTTTAAGCCTAGACTGGGCTAGTGGGCCTAGATAGCTAGGGTTCTTGTATCGTTCTGCAAAGTTAACATAGTTCATTTCATTTTCATGTGATAATGTGTGCTGACAGATGGACTCTTCTGGACATGTTTGCAAATGCCACAGTTTGACACTGACCGAAGTTGCGGTACATGTCTTTTTCTGGGTGAAATGCCATTGCTAAGTCATCTGATTTGAACATCAACTGTCTACATTGTTTTGAAAGCCTTTGAACATGAGACTCCTTGCAGCATCAAGTAGAGGACGCTACTAGGAGCAAAGGGCATCGCTACTAGGAGCAAGGACGCTACTATTACTAGGGGCTCCTGGCCTTACTACTAGGAACAAGAAGCTATTAGAAACAAGAGTTAGCATTAGAATTCGAACAAGGACTACAAGCCCTGGAAGTTTTTGATTGGCTGGGTGTTGGTGGACATGCTTCTTCTTCCAATAGTATATATATATATATTGTCGTTCAATACATCTTTTAACATACAATAGAACTACTGACTTAAACAAAAACTGTTCCGCAAGCGCGAGTGTGGGCCCCAAGATGTTCCTTCCTTCCCTCGTGCCTTCGAGCACCTTCGCAGCCCAGGGAGATCACGGCGCACTGGATGAATTGGGTCCGGATGCAAACTTGCCAAACTCCACCAGGCCCTGACAGCTGCATTGACATTCTCAGCTTTGCTCAACACTGGCCCTACGTCTCCTGATATCTCTCTCTTCCGTTCGTTCTTCACTCCGAAAATGCAACCCTGGGTGCAACAACAGACCAAGACGCCCACCAATATCAATCTTTTTTGGCATTTGGATCGTCAAACTGACATTTCTTGTGACTGCACGGTTAGAGTCTGGAACAATGACTCTGTTCTGTGAGACCTTAGGCGTCATTTGCTGTTTCGCCAATATCGTCAGTCGTTTTTTCGACCAACCTTGGTGCATAATATAGAGGGGACAAATTAGCTGCGCAGGGGAAGGAAGCAAGAACAACGCGCCTTCGTGACAGGCATTCGTTTCGACTACTTTGTGGGCAGAACGAATGAGCCTGGCAAAGCCATTGTCCGAACACTGGAGATTTGCGAATTGGGCTTCAGCATGCTGGGCAAGAAGGATCCTGGACTTGTTTGCCGCTGACATGCTCAATTGCACGCAAGTTTCTACATTCTACATTGTTCTTTTCAATCGGTCAGTTTTTCCCGCATCTTTCTCCTCTAATTTTTACTGTTCGCAGTCCCGTGTTCTGGGTGGAGAAGTGGGATTCTGCCAGGGCCTGCCAAAAAAGGTCTTTTCTGCAATGCTGGCAGCATGTCTCGAAGATGACATCAGTCCAGACATCGAGGATTTGCCAGAAGTGTGGGCCTCGATTTCGTCATGCAGAACCCACAAGAGCGGCACGTGTTATATGGAAAGTTGTTGCAAAGAAGTCCAAGGCTTCGTGAGGTCAAACCTTAATTTAAACGTGATCCTTGTGTCCGGGAAGTTGAGGCTGCTGGTGCCGTGGAAGAAAGTGCGGAAAGCGAGGCGAGGCCGGTTTGTGTCAGGCAATCATTCCAAATAGCTAGCTCGCAGTAGAATCCTGAATCCAGTCATTCATTCAGCAGAATTGTTTGGTCAAGATGAGCACAGACGGACACTGCCAGCTCTGTCCAGACAGGGTCAATCTAATTTGACAACTGTACAACCATTTGCATCCATTTGCATTTTCATGTTAATCGTTTTCCAGTCCATACTCCGTTTCCAGAGCCTGTGCGACTTGGCACGGGGCCACCTGTGCCAGGCGCCAGAAGATGCGCTTGAAGAGAATGGCTCCTCCTTGCCATCAGCTCCCTAGACCGCAGGAATCCGTGGTGTGGGCAAGATTCTGTTGATACCCCATGTTGTTGCCAAAATAATGACGCGCACAGAATGCCAATGCCAAGGACCCTACCCAGAGTTGGTGCCCAGCAACCAATGCCTGTGATTCGCTGGGCTGAGGTCTTGTACATTACTGTGCCCCGAGTGCCTCATGGAACACAAGACCAAGCAAAGTGTACAGGCAGGTATGAGTCCAGGATGCAGTTCAGCTGCTAAAACACGCGAATTCGTTTAGGCCGGCGCGTGTTGTAATACCTTTTCCTGGTTATCGAACTTCGTTGTTCATTCAAGCTGAACCTGATGCCTCGTGCAGTCGGAATCTCTGCCATCATTAGCAAACCTAGGAGCAGGTGCGAGGCACATTCCCCAATGGGCAAGCTTTGTGGATCCATGATCGGGGTGATCGTTTCCTATATGCCGGCTCTGATGGATATTGGTATGTCGGAGACGAAGAAGAGCAAGATGCCAACTTTTTTTGTGAATCGGGATACATCAGGCTGGGCTGGGCTGCTCGGGCACAACTGCGACTCCTGTGGTGAAGAATTTGCCTCAAAAAAGCAGAAGCAGGGGATGACAGACCTTCTTCGCGTCAAGCTAGAAAGATGATGAATGATCTACATGGCACTAAATTTGTTCATTCCGGGTAGGACCCACCTTGACTGCAAGGGTTTTGGAAGATTGCTGTTTGAAGATGCAGGCATGCTGGAGCTGCAGGCGCGATTCCCTTGTCTCAGTTTCTCCGAGTGATTCGGATTCGGATTTTGAGAGGTGTCTCTCCGGACCAATTGAGAGGCACGTTGCGGCAGAGCTTCCAAGCATGTTTTTACAGAGATTTTGCACCTGTCGTAAGGGTATGAAGCACCTTACTTCTCTTGGCATGAAGTCGTCCAAAGAAAACTGTAGCAATGCCCTTTTGCAACAGAAGCAGAAGCCTTGCCGGATGCTAGCCGCTAGCTGTGCGATTTTCTGTGCCATTTCCAGGTCCTTGGGAAAGGGGACCTGATTGGACCCCTGAGATCAGCATCCTGGTGACCACGGATCCAGAGGCGAACGAGCGAACACACGAGCGGGCCAACAAACGAGCGGGCGCTAATCGTTCGCACACGTGCCAGGCGAAGCCCCCGAGACCTGGCAAGGGCTACAGCAAAGCCAAGTAGAGCTGAAGGAGATCCTCAAAAGTAAAAGACACAAGAAAGAAAGAAGGTAAAGAAGGAAAGAAAAGAACAATTCAAAGTCGCGGATCGATTAGCTGAGATAGCAGTGCTGCGAAGGCCAACAGCTGGCCCTTGAAGAGCAAGCAAATCCCTGCTCGGCATGTTAGCGCCAGTTGCACGGTAGAGTGAATCGAAGCGTGGCAAAAAGGGAGGGCACCGGGCGTCGCGGCGTCATACAGCGCTTGTCAATGTTTCAAGCTAGCATTTGTAAGCGTTGCAAGTGCTCTTCTCCACCTCTCCACTCTTCATCTAGGAAGCAAATTGAGAATCTCAAGAATGGAAGCTTGTCACAAAGTGCAGCTGGACACAGAATCAAGCCCCTGCAAGCCACACTGGCTAACACACAATGGCAACCTTCAAGCAGGGCCCGAAGAAAGTCTTCTGGGTCACCTGTCTTTTTTGCAAAGTGACAAAAGGAGCTATTAGGTGGAGGCTATCGCTCTTAGGTGGAGGCCATCGCTAGTAGGTTGGAGGCCATCGCAATGAGCAACAAAGCATCCGTGTTTGACGTTCCGAGACTTGGTTGGCTTCATTCGCCACTTCGACGTGCGTGGCGCTGTTCCCAATCACCGAGCCTGGCTCCACTTCTCCCGTCCGCTGAAGACCTTGCTCGGCACGAAGATATTTGAAGTGGACAGTTGTTTGGATCAGTGTTGCGGAGTTGTAGAAATCGCTATTAGGTTGGAGGATGTTGGAGGCCATCGCTACTTGTAGTAGGTTCTTGTTGTGGAATGGCGTCAGCACACTCTCTCTCTCTCTCTCGCCCTTCACGTCTCTCTCGTTCGCTCCCTCTTTCTACTGAGTGTATCAATTCGCGGCAGAATCAACCCTGGTGCTCACCTCTCAAGGCCAAGCGCTCGCCATCTCAATTCGATTGCGTTTTCTGCAGTTGTTCCCAAGGACCACCAGACCAGACATCACACAACCGGTTCGGGTTGTGTGCGTGCTTCTGAATCCGAGTTTTCTGAACACCTAGGAGCAAGGGGGCTCCTGGCATCGCTACTAGGAACAAGAAGCTACTAGGGGCTCCTGGCCTTACTACTAGGAGCAAGGACGCTACTAGAAGCTATCATTTTCTGAAGCGAACGCCCGCCGAGCGCATGCGCTTCGTCCCGGTGCTGCACCGTGACGACGAAAGTCGCTTGACGCGTTGCGTAAGTCGCGACGGCCGAAGTCCAAGGCGACGCCGCACGAAACACGAAGATTCGCCACCAGCGCCAGACGTTGTCTTCTTTGACTACCCCAGAAGTGGTTGATTGACTCCCTAAATGTGAATTATCACATATGACTCATATGACATCATATGACATCCTTTGACGCCTTTAGCACATTCTAGCTTCTCTGAAAACGCGCCAGGGCTCTTAAGTTCAGGCAATAGTTTCCACTTCAGGGCAGCCTTGAGCATGGTTATGCGACCTAAACACGTGCTGAGCATTGTGGAGTTGGAGAAAGCTCGATTAAAGACACGACATGAACTGTGGAATACTGTGGGTCTATTCTAACGATGGATCTTGGAAGGATGAGGCACGAGGCACCAGAGGAAGTCAGAGGAGCTAAAAGGAAGCAAGGGCCTTTTGAAAAGTCACATCTATATAAATGTTATTGCTTTTAGAGTTCCCGAAGCGCACGCACGCACATGAGTTGAGGAGCATTGAAGAAGAGGACCCTTTAACAACGTCGTTACACCGAAGCTCCTGAGGAGGTAGCCTTGAACGAGCTGCAAAGAACACACACGCACACGGACACGGACACGTGCTGACACCACTGAAAACACCGAGTTGAACTTTAAAAAGCAATGTCGTTGGCCCGCCCAGTTGGCCCAGCGCCTTTGGTCCTCACAAAAAAGGAACGGGGCTCAGCCAAGAGCCCGAGAACGAACTCTGGTGGAGCACCAAGTGGTGGGCCCAGCATTCTGCGGTTTCACCGCAGAATGGCAAGCAGGCAGCATCGCTACACCTTCGGTCGAAAGGCCTTTAGGGTCTCTCTTCCTACATGGATGTCCAGCTGTCCAGCTTTGTGACTCCACCACGCTCAGGGCCAAGCGAAGAAGCCCTTCAGACAATCCCTGCCAGGCTGGACACTTGGCCAGTGTCTTCACTGCAGCGCTCCTTCGCCCTTTGGTTGTCGCTTTGTGTTGACCTTGATCTGACGGTGTTCCGTCTGCTATTGCAGGATCTTTGCCTACAACGCCCCTTCCTTCACTGCCCCTGAGCCCATTGCCTGCAGCATGTTTCAAGCCTGGAGTTCTCATGCGCGCCTAGAGTCCTTCAATGTCCTTTGTGCTTGTCAAATCTTGTGAAACACTATGAAAAACCATGGCCATACTGTAGTTGGTTGGATCATTGCAGGCTCGAAGTTGGGCTGATTGCTGTTCTGGGGTGGTGCACGTTGACACACCCGGTTTGTGCTTGTTTGTGCGTTGCACTTGGCCGGCCATTTTCTGGTGGGTCAGCAGTGATGCTTGCCGTAATTTGGTATACAGAATCCGCAACATGTTTGCCTGTGAATTGTTTGGTTTCTCGTTCCTGTTGTTTCGCCTTGAGTGGTCTTCCTAGCCTCGTAGCTAGCAGAATCCTGAACAGTCCACTCCGCCTTGGTAGGACTTCTCTGTTCTAACATGGTGCGTGCTTGGTGAACTCGTGCGTCGATTCCCCACGACGCCGACGACGCCGACGACGCCGCGACGCCGACGACGCCGACGACGCCGACGACGCCGACGACGACTCCGACTCCGACTCTTCCTCTTCGTCTTCGTGTTCTTGTTCTTCTTGTTATTACTATTTCTTCTTCTTCTTCTTCTTCTTCTTCTCATCATTGCCGCAGTCACTCCGCTGCTGGCGGGGCTCGCACGGTGAGCAGTGTCACGCTCGATCAACCTTTCCATTAGTTTTTGAAACTCCATGTCAGCGTCACTCTCACTCCCCGCGGCCGCCTTTCCAGCGGCAGGACGGCGTCCCTCACCCGCAAGGAAAGTGCTAAGCGCCACCCCCCCCCGAATCTGCCAGCATCGCTCGCTCGCTCGCTCCGACGACGGCGGCGACTACGTCCACCACCACCACCACCACCACCACCACCACCACCACCACCACCACCACTGTTGTCGTCGTCGTCGTCGCCGCAGGCGAAGTCGATGTCGATGTCGATGTCGAAGTCGATTTCGTCGTCTCGTCGTCGTAGAAGTAGTTGTAGGATGTTGTAAGACTTGTTCTGTGGTTGCAATAGCAGAGAATAGAAGTAGAAGTAACAATCGTGGAATGACAGTAGCAATGGCAGTATCTGTGGCCAGAGCGTAGCGGTAGTGTTAGCTGCTGGAGCAGGAGTAGGAGGAGGAGGAAAAGTAGCAGTCGTCGTTGTCGTATTAGCAGCAGCAACAGCAGGAGGAGGAAGGGGCGCCCTAGCAGCAGCAGAAGCAGGAGGACTTGGTAGTGGTGTGGTTAGTGGTCGCGGTACTAGGGGTGGCGGTAGTGGTGTGGCAGTGCTAGTGGCAGTGGTAGTGGTAGCGGTTGTGGTAGAGTAGTGCAGTGGTAGTGGTCGTGGTAGTGTTGTTGTTGTTGTTGTTGGTCCTCTTGGTGGTCGTGCTCGTAGCCGTGGTCGCCGCATGCTTTGTTATATGGATGGTATGAAGTATCACGTGTCAACAGAAGAAATGCCGAGTGAATTCAGGAAGAGATTTGATGACGCACGAACGTTACCATGGCAGCAAGGTCCAGTCCTCCAAGGCAAACATGCCGAAGTCGTCCGCCACCTCCAACTTTTCCTCCTGTTTGTCCATGCAGTGCTCGGTGTTCACCTCATCGCTGCATGCGCCGATCATCATCGTCAAGGCGGCGGCCATCCAAAGACAGCCCAGCGGGAACCAGCCAATGCACCGGCCCCGCCACCATGTAACGTATGAAAACATGGAAAAGACAGGGGCGCAAGGCTTGGGCCACTCCCTTGCGGTCGTGTACCAGAGCAAGAACAATGGAAATCCCATGAAATCTCCGACAGAGGTCTGGGTCGCGACTTCAACTGAAGATCAATGATCTTGTTTATGGTTATGCTTTGGTCGGGTGCCAACACAATGGGTGCAGAACAAACCCGACAGATGTTGACTAAAATGAGGCAGATGGCAGAAGCGGCTACGTGGCTCAGGCTTCATCAGGCATGATGGCAGAGATGGACCGCAAGAAAGACTCAGGCAACTCCGGTGCGGCCAGTAAGGTGCTGCGAACTCCTGACTCTTTTGAGAGTGATGGTCCACTGAAGTATGCCGCATGGAAAAAAACAGTTCACAAATTGTGCAGTTATGGAGGCAATGGCTTTGTAGACTTTCTGCGTGATATGGAGAAGGGTGATGAACCTTGTCAGCTCGCGGACTTTGTTCCAGAGGATGTCAAGTAGATGGCACATCGCCTTGACTTGATCCTAGCAGCCTGTCAGCCTACATCAAGGGGCCAGCCCGCCAGTTGATTCGAGCAGAAACTGGCGAAAAACAATGGTTTTCTGGCTGGGCAGCAGTGCAGGAACCTCTGCAAAAGCTCGTGGCCAGATTTGGTGCCCATCAGGCAGCCCCGTTTGGGCTTACCTTTGGCACGAGATACTTTAGTGCAATGGTATGCTTTGGCGAGGGCATCGTGGTCTTGAACAAGTAGCCAAGCGCCAAACAAGGCCCGCAATGGCTACCAGGAGTCTGGGTTGTTAAACCTAATGGGGATGGTTTGCAGTTAGTGGTTGGCAGCACAGGTCTTTTGAAGTGGAAAGCAATTCGACGAACAAGTGAACCATGGAAGCCTGCGTATGTTTGGCTTGTGAAAACCAAACCATACCGCAACCCCAACACCAGAAGAACATAGAAGACCTATGAGGTTGACGCCAGCCCATCATCCTGGATCGATCCAGCGGATTGGAGACACCAGGAATTCCTCATGACTCATGATGGTGAACCACAACCTTTCAGGGACAACGACGCTAATGACGTGGCACGACATGCTTGAGAAAGAAATAGTGGTGACAGTCCGGTGGAAAAATCAAAAGGTGAGAAACGTAAAACCGATGGAGTCCAAGAAGGAGAGCCAGCAGGAAGGTATCTTTGTGATCCTCCTCTACCACTTGGTTTGGGTAACGAAGATGTTGGAGCCAAGAGGCCACTGACTCCGAGGTGAGGCCGCCTCTAACCCCTCGACAAGATGACCTTGTGATGTGAAAGGGCCAAAAGCTTCCAGACCCCAATCCTGAAGGTAGTCGTTCGATGTCCTTCGGACCTTTACCCACCGCAGTATGCGGGAAACATGCACCAGGTGCACCGCCCGGTGAATGATGAAGGTTGGG